CCTCTAGGTTCCCCTTCGTCTTCAGAGAGAAAGGAGGAAAAAGATTAGAAAATGGAAAAATGAGTTTTAGAGAGTGCAAAACGCTCTATTTATAGGCATCAGGCCGCGTCCAGAACGGCCTGTTCCGATTCTGGAACGGCCCGTTCTAAGCCCGTAGAACACGTACAAAAGCCTCTCCAAGAATGGCCCGTTCCAAAACCAGAACGGCCCGTTCTCGGGTTTTCGGAATGGCCCGTTCTTAGTCAATATTTTGTTCTATAAAACTACATCCGGAACAGTCCGTTCCCAAAGTGGAACAACCCGTTCTGGGTTGAAATTTTACCCAGGCATGCTCGAGTTGGAACGGCCCGTTCCCAAAGTGGAATGGCCCGTTCTGGGGCTATGAAAATCCAGAATTATTAATATCAATACAATTTAAATATGATTTTCTTCAAATAATAATTATAACAGAATATCATAATTAATAATATTATACAAAATAATTTTCATAAATGATTATTATTAAAAACCTTTAAAAATTCAATCAAACCATTTAATTAATCAAAATAATTATAAGGAAATAATATTCATAAATACAAAAATAAATATTAATTATTCGTAGTATTAGTAGAAAAATCTGGGATGTTAAAGAAAACAACAAAATGGTTTCAAGAAATCGTTTATATTTCTTCTAGGTTTTTTCATTTAAAACCCATTATTTAATTTCATTATTTTATGTGCTTTTTAATTAAATTCTCTAATATTTTTTTATAATTACAGTACAAGTGCTCACCAAAAAATGATTGAGAAAAATACTATAATATCTCAAATGCGTCATCACCCATAAAAGTTGTTGAAAGTAGGATTGATAAGGATGTGGAACAAGCTAGTGGGATGGATCCATTAATAGTCACTTTCAATAGCTTATCTAGGATGATAGTGGATAAATACCCTAAATTGAAGTTCGCACTTTCCATCAGGACTTTCAATAGTTATTTATATAATATTCATTATCTGTTTCATAATGATCAAGTAACATCCTTCTACTTTTACTTTGACTGTCCACTCTTGAAGAAATTTGATGTGAATTAGTTGAACAAGTCTGTTAGTTATTATCAATAACTATTGGAAGTCCTGATGGAGAAAGTGTGAACTTCAATTTCGGATATTTATCAACTACCATCTTGAGTAAGCTATTGAAAGTGACTATTAATGGATCCATCCCACTAGCTTGTTCCACATCCTTATCAATCCTACTTTCAACAACTTTTATGGGAGATGACGCATATGAGATATTACTAAATATGGAAATGTTTTTACACCACTGTCAATGAAAACAAGTTAATAGCATCCATCCCATGAAGTGCTCTCCGTTTGACATTCCTAACATTGACTGCTGAAAGCCCCCAACCCAACATTAAATACTTGAATCTATGGTTCAACTATTTCACATATAGCTACATATTTATATCATTTAAGTTCTTTAACTATAACAACCCCATTCTATAATTTAGTTAATTACCATAACCCTTTAGAATAAACACCTCCAAATCATCTGTCTACTCTGGCAATTGAATCTATCCACACAGAAACTAGCATCTTAATAAACATGCAGAATACATTAGCATAATAAAATCTAGGCATTAGTTAATATGGATTTTGATCAAAAGTGGAAAAGCAAAGGGGATACAGGAGTATGTAACTGCTTTTGGCACTACTAGAAAAGTGTCATTTTCCTGCAAATTTTCCTACAAAAAAAATATTTGCAAATTTTTTTTTACGATTTTCTTGTAATAATAATTTGCAACATTTTTTAACGAATTTATTTGCAAAAAATAATTTACAGATATTTCTTACAAATCTTTTTACTAAAAATAATTTACAAGAAATTTTTGCAAATTTTGCTACAATTTTAATGATCATAAAAAAAATTTCCATGGTAAAAATTTGTAGAAAATATTGTAAGAATTTTATTTTATTTATTGCAGATTTTATTGCAAAAATAAATTCGCAAGTAATGTTTACTAAATGGTAGGAAACTTTCCTGCGAATTTTTTTCGCAAGATATTTTACAGGAAAATTTCTTTCGAATTTTAAAATTCACAATAATATATTATCTACGAAGGTATTACTTGCAGATAAAATGTCACAAAAAAATTTGTTTCCTGCAAATTTTTCATAAAAATTCGCAGGAAAAATCGCATGTAATAAGAGAAATTTTAGCAGTGTGGTCTCCACTTTTTAGTGGACCATTATACCCCTCAGATGTAAAAAAATCTTATATTCTCTTTGAAGAACTATACACCTCTTTCTAATATTATGTATGTATATAACTATTAGAGACACAAGAAATTCCTCTAGTTTTTTTAAATGTTTTGCAATTATTCTAGTGATTTTGTTTTTGTAACTTACATATAACAATTTTTTATTTTAAAATATTGTAATTATTTTGGTTAATTTTTTTTATAATTGAAACATTTCAAATTTAAATTTTAAGATAATTTAATAAATTAAAAAAATTATAGAGTTAAGGTTTAGTAGATTTTTTTTTATATATATATTAGAACTATCTTCTAATAAAAATGATTTATAAATTTTTCATTCATCTAGTGATCATTTTTTTAGTAACAAGCAAATATAAAAGATTTAATTGAAAAATTATAAATAATTTGATAACTAAATTTTTTTTATGAATATTATAATTATTATGGTAATTTTTAACTATATTATTTCAAATCTAAATTTTTTTATATAATTTCATAAATTAAAAAAAAACATTTAAAATTAACGGTTTAGAAATTTAAGTTTTAGAGTTTATTGGATTTTTTTATATTATAATTATCTTCTATAAAAAAGGAACTAAAAAAATCATTATTATTCTAGTAATTTTTTTTTTTTAACTGACATATAACAATTTTTTTTATTTAAAAATATCGTAATAAATTTGGTTAAATCTAAAATATTTAAAATTTATAGATAATTTGTTAAATAAAAAAGGTTAAATTAAAAAACAAATGTTACTTAAAAAATAATTAACTAATCCAAATTTTTACACATGTTGTAAAATAAAGAAATTCAAAATACGATTAATTTTTTTATTTATCACATATATCATTAAATTAAAATTTAATATTTTTATAAAAAATTTATCAAAAATATTTTAGGAATTGTTTTATCTTCTTATCAAATATAATTTTGTTTACTATCTAAAATATCAATAATTCAAAATAATTATAAATTTGTTGGTTTATATATAGTCATTCATTAGGTCTTAATTTATTCATCATTCAATTATGTGTTTTGAATCTAATTAGGATTATCTTAAGTTTCTATATAGAGCACATTTTGTCATCAAACCTCTTTCCAAAAACATCTCTCAAAAGAATGGCAAGAAGAAGTAAAGGTAATCGGTCAACAAACAAATCAACTAAGATACAACCAATTGCTCGAAAAGAGATGAAGTAAACAACAAAACGGTTTCAAGAAATCGTTTATATTTCTTCTAGGGTTTTTCATTTAAAACTCATTATTTAATTTCATTATTTTATGTGATTTTTAATTAAATTCTCTAATATTTTTTTTATAATTACAGTGCAAGTGCTCGTCAAATATCTCAGCCAAAAAATGACAGAAAAAAATATTATAATATCTCGAATGCGTCATCACCCATAAAACTTGTTGAAAGTAGGATTGATAAGGATGTGGAACAAGCTAGTAGGATGGATCCATTAATAGTCACTTTCCATAGCTTAACCAGGATGATAGTGGATAAATATCCTAAATTAAAGTTCGCACTTTCCATAAGGACTTCCAATAGTTATTGAAAATAATCAACAGACTTGTTCAACTAATTCACATCAAATTCCTTCAAAAGTGGACAGTCAAAGTGAAAGCAGAATGATGTTGCTTGATCATTATGAAGCAGATAATGAATATTATATAAATTATCAACCAATGTCACCGTATATAATTGATGGAGGAATTGTCTATGTTCAAATACTAAAAGTATTATATATATATAATACTATATATATATATATATATAGATATAACTTACTTTTGGTATTTGAACTTAGACAACTCTTCCATAAATTATATACGGAGACATTGGTTGATACTTTATATAATATTCATTATCTGCTTCATAATGATCAAGCAATATCTTTCTATACTTTCACTTTGACTGTTCACTCTTGAAGGAATCTGATGCGCATTAGTTGACCAAGTTTGTTGATTATTATCAATAACTATTGGAAGTCCTGATGGAGAAAGTGCGAACTTCAATTTAGGATATTTATCCACTATCATCTTGGCTAAGCTATTGAAAGTGACTATTAATGGATCCGTCCCACTAACTTGTTTCACATCCTTATCAATCCTACTTTCAACAACTTTTATGGGAGATTACGCATCCGAGATATTATAGTATTTTTCTATGTCATTTTTTGGCTGAGATATTTGATGAGCACTTATACTATAATTATAAAATAATATTAGAGAATTTAATTAAAAATCACATAAAATAATGAAATTAAATAATGGGTTTTAAATGAAAGAACCTAGAAGAAATATAAACCATTTCTTGAAACCGTTTTGTTGTTTTCTTCATCTCCTTCCGAGCAATTGGTTGTATCCTAGTTGATTTGTTTGTTGACTGATTACCTTTGTTTCTTCTTGCCATTCTTTTGCGAGACGTTTTTGGAAAGCAATTTGATGAAAAAATGTGCTCTATATAGAAACATAAGATAGTCTTAATTAGAGTCAGAACACATAATTTGAATGATAAACATTGAACCAGATAATTACAATCATAAATTATACCTTAGATGTAAATGGAATAATAACGAACATTAGCCCCTTCTCATACGCCTACAATATGGAAAACAATTTGATAAGAAAATGACCAATTTAAGGGCCATCTACTCCTGAAATATATTCAATTTGGAAATTGCCTCTATAATCAAAGACTTTGGGTGTATTTCACGAGCCATCAAAACCTTATTAATGCCATTTGTTAACTTCCCAAGCCAGCTCCCCAAATTTTTAACCAAAGAGCGTTCTTCTAAACTTGATTTTAAGAGCTCTGATCCTAAAAGAGCCTGAAGAATATTCAAACACCAAGTATGATTTCATATTATCAACACAACTTGTCAATTCAATCAAGCAGGGAACAGAAACAAGGCTCAAACCTTGCAATTTTCATAAATTGCCTGCACAATCTCTTTGTTTAAAGCCTTTGAATTAACCTTATCCATGAATTTCAAGTACAAGTCATGGAAATTTGGCTCAATGCTTGCTCTAGAAATAAATAACAAATGGTATAAATGAAGGTACCAATATATATAGCATGCCCCATATCTCTACATGGATGCAACTGTTTTAAGCAATTACATGATACATGACTTGACTTATGAATCATGCTAACCTTTTCATAACCATATACTGTGCAAACCATAGTACTGCTCTTTCAAAATTTCAGCAAACACTTTTGCTTTGTCTTCAATATTAGCAGCAGAAACATTATTAATTATAAATGATATCTTTTCTTGAACATCTGAGTCCGGAGCCTGTTAACAATATAAAAAATTAGGGTTAAATTACTCCAAGTAAAGGAAATCAAAATTTAGATTTGTATAAGATACTAAATTAAAACTAGTATTTTAGTTCATGCATTGTACCAGTTAAATAATTTTAGGATTATAATTATTTATTTTGAAAAGTGAAAATTTATTAATATCATATAATTAAAGTAAATATCTATCATATATGACCTTGACAAAATTTAATAAAATCTGTATATAGAATAATATCAAATATATCTAAATAAAATCATTGTCAATATAATAATTAAAATTTCAGTTATCGATGACAATAAAGTGTAAGAAAATTAAATAGAGAGAATAATTTGTTATCCTCATAATAGGAGAAATAATAATCATAAGCCATTTTAAATCAATGAAATTTAAACCGGTATGAAAATAAAGAAATAAGGATAGTTTATCCCCAAGAAATCAGAGAAAATCCCCATGAAGGTGGAGGGGATTGCAGTGGATCTGGCAAAGGTGGAGGCTGTGGTTCAATGGGAGCTTTCGAGGACTACTTTGGAGATTAGGAGTTTTTTTGGGTTAGCAGGTTACTATCGGAGATTTATAGAGGGTTTCTCCCGAATAATAATGTCTTTGACTCAACTGAGTCGAAAGAATCAACCCTTCGTTTGGATGGACACTTGTGAGTAGAGTTTTCAGGAGTTGAAGAAGCGGTTGTGACACCCTCTACCCCATCATTAATACACAATAAATGTAAACAATAAATTTTTTTTTCTTTTTGAGTAAATAAATTCTTTCATAGTATAATAACATTTTTCATGTATAAAACAATTGTCTCAAATATCATAAGGTAGAAGATTCACATTCGTAACTCATAAATCATAAAAACTCAAGAAATCATATAAAAGAAAATATAGATTAATTCCAGCAAAGGTGGCAGTATCTCCTAGTTAAGAATTAATTTATAACTTCCAAATCATGTAATAAAAATAATATGACAAATATGCACATTTTGGTCTTTTATCAAGAACGTTTAAAATTACAAAGGAGAAGAAACTAAAGTTATTAAAACAATAACATTCTAAACTAATAAGCCTAGCTATGCCCGATGTCACATCCTATCAGAGCATGCCCAACTGAAGCCTTAAGCCTCATCACCAACATCCTCATGATGATGATCACCTGCAACATAATTTAAACATATACAAGAACAACAAGGGAGTGAGAAACATCTCACTCATTTTTAGATGCAGAAATAAAGGTTAGATAGCACACACATAACAAATATAAGTCACGTAAACAATACACATACCTAATCAAATATCAAATGTACACTTATTTATCATGCTATGAGATAAGCATAATTTGCAATTATTGTTTGGATTGGTGATATATCGATAAATTTTATCATTTGTATTTTATTTATAATTATACTTATGTTATTTGATTAAAAAGAAGAGGTGTATTTTAATTATATTATATTGTATTAATTATTTTATGGTAGGCGAAGGAAGGACGTGATGAACATTTGATTAATTAGTATTGTTATTCTTATTATTATTATTTTAATAAGGGAGTTATCAGGAGTAAGAGAAGTTACCTTATGTTTCATTTCTCCTAACTTCTTCCTTATTTAGTTCCTTTTTTTCTACACTCTCTGAAGACCAAGGAGAACCAAGACATGGTGACCAATCAGATCCTGCCTACGCTTCATCTTTTACTCATCCAGGTAAGGGGGAGTGAGAAACCTCACTCGAAGGTGTGGGAATAACTGTTGGATAGCAGGATTGGCTCTCAATCCCTTGCGTGATGTATGT